AAATTACACCCATGTGTAAGCAACAAGAGTGGATTTATTTTTTTTCCACTCATCTTTTCCATTTAGTGTTTGTTAAATAAACAATGAGATGTTGGAAAATGTTGTTTTTGCACTCTTGTTGGATTTTTAAGGCCTGATGTCAACACCCTAGAAAAAAAACAGAGTTTGCAGAAGTAAAAATTAGCTTCTTGTGTTTCTGATTTGTGTCTGCAGATCAGGACGGTCTGTTACGGTTCTCAGCTGGTTGGAGGAGTTCTCACCAGGAAGGCAGAAACAGACGTTTCCTCCCAGCGACTTGGTAAAAGTCTGCTGCTGTTTTCGGCTCAGCTCAGCCACTGCAGGACGGTGCTGAGGCTGTTTGACGATCTCTCCATGCTGGCGTACTCCCACAGCTATGGGTTTGGTGCTTTGGTGCGTGGATCAACACAAACTCTGTGCTCGTCACGCAGAAAGCTGGATTAGGTTGCTCTAAAGACAAAAACGTGACGGTTTGCACTGATCAAACTATTTGTTGTCCAGAAATATCCACCTTTTAACTTTCAGCCTTTCAGGAGGAGGACGCAGGCGTCCGCTGGATATCGGTGCTGACGAACGTGGCGGACCAGCTCTACTACCCGTGCGAACACATCGCCTGGGCYGCCGACGCTGAGCTCATCAAAGCCAGGTCTGATAAGTGGTGGTTGTTCAGCACGGTGCTGTGGGGGAGCTCCCTGCTGCTGGGGATCCTCAGGTATGATCGTGTCTGCACAAACATCCAGTCCTGATAACTGCCTGAGGGTTCAACATAAAAATCATTCTGATGTCATATTTGTTAATAATATTCAATAACGTGAAAATATCATAATGATGGTATAAAGTAGGGCTGGGCGGTATCACGGTATAAATTTAATCCCTTCATGGTAACGGTATATATCGCGGTAAAATTATCATTAAAAAGCAAAGATAATGTAATTTTTAGAGCATTTATTTAGCAGAAAACTGTATAATCAAACCCAGTATTTTTTGCTGTCGTGCAAATGAACATAACAGATGTACAAAAATATGTTTTTTATATATTGCAAAATGGTTTCGACAAACAAAAACATTTCTCAAATTTTCAACAACATCAAAATAAAGTGGATGTTATAACCAGAACTTCAAGTAAAATTTGTCATTTAGACATAAAATAAATTCTAAGTTGGCATAAGTTACCTAAAGTGTTATAGTGTGGCAGGACCTTAAGGGGCTTAAGCTACACATAGTTCTAGTTATAAAACAATTTCGGATAACTGGAATGTAAGTGTGGTGAAGCCAAATAAATGTAATATAGGTCTGCCATAATTATGAACTTATCGGCTGCGCTCAGAGCAGAAGCCAATGTCACATTAGTAAGATGGATTTATGACTGAACGAACGTTCACATCTGTTTTTATCATCTCTGTAGGTAACAGTACATAAAAAACAAGTTTTTTTTCTCGAACAACTTGGGTGTGAAAAAAACTACGGTTGTTAAAGCTTCGCTCTGCTCGACGTGCAGCGGGAGAGAGGGAGGAAATGATCCCACGACATGACGCACGACGTAACTTTTCTACAGCAGGAGGGGGAAATTTTGAGGATTTGTTCTCTCTATACRTGTTTTAAAATGCTRTATTTCTACACTATATTTCAAACTCCTCCTGCTCTGTTGTCTCTGCACTCACAGCCCTGTTGGCACAGGTGTGATGATGTAACTGACGACAGGACGGTAGAGGGTCAATTTCTACCGTAGGCCAACTTCATTTTGTTTATATCGTCTATTGCAAATATCACGCAGCCCTAGTTTAAAGTTTTTAAACCATTCCAATTTATTTTTTGTTTTTTGTGTAGATAAAACCTAAAACATAAAGTCTGTTTAAAAAATGGTCAAAATATGTATACTATTCATTTATTCTGGAAAATTGTTCAATTTAACATTGCTGTCTGCTGCAACAAATTTCTGAAACGCCTAACATTAGCTTTTAAAGTGCACGTGACATCTAATTTTTGCAACATAAATGAAAKCATCTTTTGAAAGATAACATTGATAACATCTTGCAAACATATTCACACTGCTGAGATGAACAATTTTTGATATTCACATGGGAAGTGACAGGAAGTGATGTCGAAGGGGAATGTCTGAATGTAAACAGAGCATTGCTACAAAAGCTAACAACACAGACTAAAGAAAAATCTGATGTTTCTTTAGGTTATTTGAGTCATTATCAGAGATGAAGAGGAGTATAATAAGAATATAATTTCAATAAACAAAGACCGGGGTTTTCCTTTGATGTCACTTCCTGTTTCACTTTGTCTGAGTCAAGTTCAAAAGGAAAGAAGCCAGTTATGTGACAAAAGGGTTAAAGTCGTGTACATTTTTGTCAATTTTCCTAATTACAAAGATATTTTCATTGACTGTTTGTATTTTAAGGATATGATATCACAGGAACAATATTTTAAACACCAAAGTCTTTGTGTCTTTAAACCTCATTGTTGGCAAAAATATTTGTTAAACTGATTGTAGTGTCTCTGTGTGGTTTTGGTTCTTCCACTGTGAGCAGGTAATCGTGTGTGTGTGTTTGGTGGTCTGTCTGTCAGCAAAATATTTCATGAACCAGCAGATTCTAATGAATAAAAAAAGATTCTGATAAAAGTCTCAAAGTAATAATTAGATCTTTATCTACATCTGATGTAGAGTGGAGCAGCTAACAAACCTCAGAAAACTCAAACAAGACCAAAACTCTGCCAGTTTTACTGATTTTGTTCTAAAATTTGTTGTGGTGGTAGCTGGAAATCATTTGCAACATACACTCTAACCACTAACAGGTTGAAATTCTGACATGAAGTGTGAAGGAAGAGGTGCATTCCTTTAAAAAATATGCTAGTTTCATACCTTTATATGAAAAGGGTAGATTACTGTATATTTTAGGGCTGCAACGATTAATCGATTGATCGGTTAATCGACGACTAATTGAATAATCGATTACTAATTTAATAATCRATTAATCGTTTTCTTTTTCTTTTTTTTTGTTCTTTACTTTGTTTTTCTCTCCAAACTGCTTTGACACCTTCCACTGCCACATCTGCCTTTCTGTCCTTGACACACATGCACAGTAGTGGTAAC